CCAATTAAGAGAGGGGAGCCTTGGCTTGGGGAGGTTGTGCTACAGACTCAACCTCATACAGCTGGCAGACGGCCGGGACTCTGGCCCAGCAGGCCTGAAGGCAGAGACCGTCCCCAGGTCCAAGGTCAGTCTCTTGACCAGGAGTGGGAGGATGCAAGAGGAACAACATGTTTCTGATGGGGGTGGTGGCTGAGGAGGGAACTCCAAGGCTCTGTCCTTGAGATAGATCTTATCTAATCACACACCCCCCACCCCTATCCTCATGGGTGGCCTGGAGAACCCTAGAAGCTCTTCAGGATTGGAGTTCTCCCTCCCTTACTTCAGCTTTGTATTCTGTGCCTGGGGTAACATATGCAGAAGAAGATGGTTTGAAAACTCCCAGGCCAGAATGGAGGCTGCACAATTTCTGACCCTCACTGACAGCCGCCAGGAAGACTGTGATGGGCCTGGGGACAGGCTGTGAAGAAAAAGAAAGAGATGGGTTCCCCAGATCCTTGTTTCTCCAGGAATCCTAGCCAGGGGCTGGGCTGTTACTAAGTTAAACAGCAGGCAAGGGACTGGCTCTAGGAATCACGCTTTTAACGCCTTATAAGGAATCAGGTGAGGGAGAGGGCACCAGGCAGGCCCTGAAGAAGGCGAGTTCAGCAGCAGGGAAGCAGGGGTCTAAAGCTACCCAGCAACTGAGGGACAGGGCCATATGCTCTCTCAGTGATCTCCAGGTGCCGCTCAGGGTCTGTGCCTAGTGTTAAGCAATGAGAGGGAGAGAGTCCCCGTCCTGAGGATCCTAACCACTGTGAGCACCAGCTAATAACCACAGTCACATTCACCAATGAATATGCAGGGAGCTATATCTACACAATTTCATTTCATCCTATGAGAAGAGTTTTATGATTCCGTTTTATAGATTAGGAAACTGAGGCCCCAGAGGCGAGGAACCCAGCCTGAGTCTTTCCAGCCTGTTTGGAGTGTCCAAGGATGTCCCAGTCTAGCAACCAATTGTGCTTCGTACATCATTTGTAGTTGGCATTTTTTAAATGCAAAATAGTTTTTTTTTAATTTGGGAGAAATCAACTATGCAAAATAAATAAAAATAAAGCTGGAGGAGAGGGAGTGGGGTGCAGAAGCCAACCTGCCCAGCCTTGTGGAACACTTCATTGCCCTTCCTAGACACTAAGCAAGCTCAGGCAGAGTTTTAGTGCTTTACGTGCCCGGAGGCTCACCCCCTGGCTGCAGCCTCTGTTGCAGCTGAACAGAATTCTGTGAGCATTTACTGAGCGCCTGTGTGACAGGGCTGTGAAATGCTTCCTGGAAAGCTCTTGCATCAGGGTCCTCTCAGGCCGGTGTGGCATCTGTGCCATGCTGTGCTGTTCCGTTCACTTAACACCACTGGTGAAGCACCGACCCCATACTGGGCACTGTACTGGCTCTGGCTATAGTGGGAAAGAATGCACATGGTCTTGCCCTCTTAGGGCTTAAGTCTAGTGGAAAAGATTCCTCTAGCAAACAACATGTTCCTAAAAGGAACACAGATCACAATTAAGATCAGAGTCAATGAGGTGTAGGTGCAGGGGAGTTAGAGCAGTTGGCCACTACCAGCACCTTCGACTCACGGCAAAGAGGATTGCTGGCATGGGGGGAGGTCGCCAAGAATCAGACACAGCCAGGACAGAGAGGGTGACTTGGGCCTTCCTTTTGCCCCAGGTGTTCCCAAGGCTGGTGAGAAAAAATAAGTTGCCCCCAATACCAACAGTCTGGTCCAACAGACTCTTTGTGTTCCTCAGTCATGCAAGGAACAAAGAAAGATCCAACTCCCAAGGGTTGGATTACTGCAAATCTAGAACTCAGTGCAATGAATAATGAATAAGTGAAATTGAATTAAAACCAGAAATCATTAAGCAATCATTATGTGTCCATGCAGGGTCAAATCGAAATCCACCTGGGGAGGCCTACACATTGGGAAGCTTTTTTCTAGATCTTCTCTGAAGATCTTTTTCAGCTTCCCTGGCTTGGCCCTGCTCCCATGCTCTCCATTTACTTAACAAATATTTAGCAAACACCTGGGTTGGGCAGAACACCAGCTACTCAGCATGTGCCTGGCACGGAGGCAGGGCTGTGTACACACTTGGTGCTTTCTGCAGGGCCGAGAAAGAGGGTGCAGACACTGTTAAAATGTGATCCTGCCCTGGTGCCTTCCCTGGGCTGCCTGTCTCCCTGGTTGCAGAAAACCTGGTACTAAAGCAGGTCAGAAGACGGCCAGGCAGCCACTTGGTCCCCAGCGCTGGTCCCCACAGAGTCACTTCTGTGTCACATGGATCTCAGACTCTGGGATTCTGAGCAGAAAGCCAGGCTGTCCCGCCCTGCAGCTGGTTTCTCTGCAGAGACCGACACTCCGATGCTGCTCCCTCTGCCGGCGCTGACCTCCTGCCACCTGCCAAGCCTTGCCTCTCCTCCCCGTCATGGCTTGATTGCCAATGTTTGGAGGGGCACCAGATCTGTCCCAAATGTCCCTTCTCTGTGCTCGTTGGCCCCCCTGCTTCTCAGTCTGATGTCCAAGGGTATTGGTGTGCTAGGTCTGTGTCCCCCACCAGATTGCACATTTCTTGATGGAGGGCTTGTGCCTAGCTCATTCGGGTGTCTATTGTCTCGCATTGAGTGTAGCACAGAGTAGGTGCCCAGTAAAGTTGAGCAGATGAACATAGGCACATATGCAGAAGAAAATACCTTCATGCTGTTTAATACAAATGGCCATGTACCCCCCATCTCTCTGTCTCTTTGTCTCTCTGTCTCTCTTTGTCGATATCTCTCTGCCCTTCTCTCTCTCTCTCTGTCTTCTTTGTCTGTCTGTCTCTCTTTCTGTTTCTTTCTTTCTTTTTCTTTCTGTTTCTTTCTTTCTTTTTCTTTCTTTCTTTCTTTCTTTTTCTTTCTTTCTTTCTTTCTTTCTTTTTCTTTCTTTCTTTCTCTTTCTTTCTTTCTTTTTCTTTCTTTCTCTGTTTCTCTCCCTGTCTCTCTTTCTGTGTCTGTCCATCTCTCTCTCTCTCTCTTTCTCTCTCAATCTTTTGCACACTCTTTCCCCTACTGACTCATTTTTTGTACACCCCTCTTGTTGCATAATGTTCTCCTGTGATCTCACCCCCCTTGATGCTGTCTGTACAGACCCACCTGAGGAGATTAGATGAAAGAGTTTCTGACCCTGGCCCTGCAGGGGGATGGGTCTGGGTCCCACTCTGCAGACCTATGCCCTTCCCAGCCCTGAGTCCTCCCTCACATCTGGTCCCTGTCACACATTTTATAAAGGGATCCCATGTCCCCATCCCTTGGATCTGCACAACAGTGCTAGGGAGGTTGATAGCCAGGAGGTAAAGGACTCATTTTACAGATTAGGAAACATACTCAGAAAGGCTATGACTTGCCCAGGTAGAAAGTCAGAATTGAGACCTATGATTCCTCAGTCTGGGCCAAAGTTCTTTCTGCTGCACTTCTGGAGAGGTTGCTGCCCCTTACCATCACTCCTTGAGGTCCTGGTATCTGTGACTAGAAAAGAACCCTCCATTTGTCCATGAGCAGTGAATGGAGGAACTTTGTGAAAACTCCCAACCCCTCTGCTTTTTCCTCTCCAGGAAATAAAGCCACTGAGAACTGTGATGGCTACATCCCCCTTACCTCCTGTTCATCTGACTCCTGGTCTCCAATAATTCTGCCAGACATCCTGACCTCCTTGGATGCCCACCCTGGGTGCCTTGGGAGGGACAGTGTCCTATTTCAGAAGGGTAGTAAGGAAATGACAGGAAGGTCATAAAGCCTGAGGAAGGAGACAAGGAAAATCTCCCCACTCCCCCAGCCACACACGCCATATGACGTATACCAGGCCAAACCTGCTAGGCAGCAGGAATCCAAGTCCTGTCCTGAGAGCTGGCTACACATGGCCTTTCCCTTCTCTCATTGCTATTTTTCAAAATCCTGATCAGATCAAGGGTTTGTGGACTTTCTTTCCTGAATATTCTGCCTGCTACTTCCAGTACCTTCCCCCACCCTCACCCCCCACCCAAAGGCTTTTTCTTCCTGAGAGAGGGCATGAATATTTAAAGACAGTTTTTCAGCTAGTGGAACCACGTCATGAGGCTGCTTTCCCTTTACATTATCTCCAGAAAGTTTGCCAGAGTCTCTGTGAGTGCCTTGCCCTCCCCGGTACAGAGTATAAAAGGGGTTTGAGCGAGAGGGATGGGCCCTGAGGAGTCAGCCTTCCTTCTGCCGGGGCTACAGGGCCGTCAGCCTCAGCTCGGGCTGAATGATGTACTTGTAGTCCTAGTTCTGTTCCACAACCCCCTTTCTGGGCTGCTCGGAGAGTTATTCCTGCAAACCTCTTGCCACTCCAGTTCTAGGAGAAGTAGAAAAGCTGGGCATCGACACAGGCATGAGAAGTAGAGAAACAGGGACCCAGGAAAGCAATACGATGAACAAGTTCCCAGAAACAGGAACCCAGAAATCCAGGAGAGAAAGCTCTTGGCGCATGAGACACAGACCTGATCCGGATTCTGAATTCACCAGGCACCGCGGATTCCAGCCCTGTTGCCACCTCCCGCCGGCCCTTCAGGCATCTCTGCTCTGCAAAATTACTCACAACCCACTGCATCAAATCTCTCTTTTATCAACAAAACACAATGCTCCGCGGATAACTTCTTGAAACTCCAGTCACACCGAGCCGCTTCCAGTGCTCTAGGAAGGGTTCTGTCCCTCTGCCTCCTCTAACCAATCAGCCACACACCACCAACTCCATTTCCAAAGTTCCAGACAATTACAGCCGGCTGAGCTTGCTGGCGGGGTGCCTGCCTGCTCAGAGACAGGACCCAGGTTGTCAGCAACCTCAAATCCCAGCTGCCGACTTCCCCCAGTGTCCTCCGAGACCTGGACACACTGGAATGGCCACGCTCACCGTACCAAGACAATGCGACTAGCCGGGCCACATCAAGACAGAAAACAAGGGTCGAGGCCAGTCTCCCTACCTTTGCTGAGGGTCCCGGTGATGAGCTTGAAGATGGTCTGTGCAAATTTCACAAAGCCAAGCTTGCATCTTCTGGAGCAGCTGCTCATGGTGGCAGAGGGAAGGCTGACTCTACGTCAGTGCCTGGAAGGGATGGCACCCACCTTGTGTGCCCCCTGGAACCCCAAGAGATGGATGCACCCCTGAAGCTGGACTTGGGAACAGCACAGCTGCCTCTGCAGCGAGTCCAGCTTCTGCATCCAGAGAGCCTGCAGGGCAAACCCTCCCTCCCTCCACCCCCTCCTGCTGTCCACTTAAGTCCTCCCCACGGGAGGACCTCAGGATGTCGGGGCAGGACAGTACTGCCGGGGCACAAGGCACTCCGAGGGAACGAGGGGAGAGAGGATGAGCAGAGCAGGAGGGAGGAGCTGGAGCGCTCCGGCTCTGCCGACTGTCTTGCATGGCAGCGGTAATGTAGCAATTAATACCCGAGTCAGGAGGGAGGGGAATGCTACACAGAAAACACTCAGCCCCACGGCCTCCCACGCTCACTCTCCTTCCCGGTTAAGCTGATAGATCAATTATCTGTGCCTTGATCGGGATCTGGGAGAACTCCCTGCAGAGCAGGAAGCTGCTTAACAGAAAGTTTGCAGGCAGCCTCGGAGAAGTGGGCTGAGTGGGGAGCCCCTGGGAGCTGGCCTGTGCATATGGGACACACAAACAGCCTGTGCAGCCTGTCCAGTAACCCTGACACCAGCAGCAGGTGCAACCTGCCTCCCTGATTCTGAATAGACAATGCCTGTGACCACTTCCCGGCTCCAGACGCCCTGGACTCAAAATGAACTGCTCTATTCCAGCCTCTAGCCCTGCAGCACAGGCATGTGCTCTCTCATCAGGATAGGAAAGATGCAATTAGGGTTTTTCTTGATTAAGATAGTGTTTCTCAGTGATGCCATAAAGGAATGACCGAGATTCAAACAACTTGACTACAGTGCAGTACTCTTCACAGGGGGCCTGCAAGGCATTATGCAAAGGTGAAGCCCAGTTATTGCTCAGTAAAAAAACCTGGGTGTAGAAAAGGGCTGAGCAGCCGGGGTGCAGGCAGCCCTGAGCACCCAGCATGTAGAAAGTGCTGAGGCAGATGAACTAGACAGGCAAGGTCAAAGCCCTGGTGTACTTACAGTGAAGGGGATTTGCTGTCAGATAGGAAGTCCTTGTTGAAAATAAGTTCATCCAGTCAGTTTCTTTCCCTTTTCAGGGTTTTGGTGGATTGAGACACAGGGCAGGTAGGTGTTAGGAAGGAGAAGGAAAGAGCTAGGTCACAGGGCACCATCTGGCAGGGGAGGAGCATGACCTGGGCACCGAGGAGGAGGACTAGAGAGAGTTTGGAAAGGAGGCTGTGGTACCATGACATGGGCTTCTTCAGGTGCTGAGGATACAGTGATGGGTAAAACAAAGCCTCTGGGCTTATTGAGTTCACATTCATGCACTGGAGGAATAGAAACAGTCAGGAATGTGTCTACATCCAAGGGAGTGCTATGAAGAGAAATGAAACTGATGGATTGGATAGAGAGAATGACAGGGGCTCCAATTTCAGACAGGGTCATCAAGAAACACTTCTATTAAAATGGCATTGCACAGAAACCCCAAGTCAGCCAATCAGCTTTCTGGGGGGAAGAACAGTGAAGTCTGAGGAACAGCAAGTACAAAGGTCAAAGACATCCCTGAACTCAGTTCTAGGGTCTGCAACTTGGCAGCTAGCTGCTGAGCAAGTAGGTTAGCCTACTGACCCTAGTCTTTCTTCTGCAAAATGGGAATAACACTCTAACCACTGTGGCTGTTGCTGCCATTTCTGCCCCGCCCTATCCCCCAAAACATCTCATATCTAGGCGACCTGACAGGACGCATTCTCTACCAATGTGATTCCTGAACATTCTGCCAGTCCTGGGCGAATGCTGTGGAGGGCACCACAGGAAGAGTGAGGTGGACTCTTTGTCCTCATATGAAACCATTAGAAAACCGCTGTTCCTATCCAGTGAGGGGCAAGAGTATTCCAGAAGAGGAGCGAAAGAATGAGAATATTGATGCTGTAGTGAGGGGAAAAGAATTCACAGAGGTGGAAACCAAGCAAGTGTGGAAAAAGGAGGTTGAAAATAGAGAACATGGGCCAGTCATGATGGCTCAAGCTTGTAATCCCAGCACTTTGGGCAGTTGAGGCGGGAGGACTACCTGTGCTCAGGGGTTTGAGACCAGCATAGGCAACTTGGTGAGACCTTGTCTCTACAATAAATCAAAAAATAAACTGGGCAGCACACGTCTATAATTCTAGCTACTTGGAAGGCTGCAGCGGAAGGATCTCCTGAGTCCAGCAGATCGAGGCTGCGGTGGCCATGAGTGTGCCACTGCACACCAGTCTGGGTGGCAGAGTGAGACTCCAACTCAAAAAAAAAAAAAATAGAGGACATGTAGGTAAAACTTTATAATTATTGGAAATCATGGAGCCAGCCTTTCATTGTTTTCTCCCCCAGCATTAAGCACTTTGTATTCTCCTCTGATCTTTGCAAGGCATCATGTGTTGGAATGCTCAGTCTTAGATGAACGAGTCAGGCCCAGAGAGGGTCAGTAGTATCCAAAACACCACACAGCAAAATTCCTCCCATAACCTGGGCAAGAACATTCCCAGTGAAGGAAGGCAAGTTGTGCCAGTGTTCATGATAGGAGAGTCCAGGAGAGAATCGTCCTCTGCTCACGGCACTTACTATTCTGCAAATAAGTGACAGGAGAGGAGGAGTCAGTGGCACCCGAGAAACAAGACCATGAGCAGGCATGGAATGAGTCAGCTTCGGGTCACAGATGTGCATTATCCAACGGAGCTTGGGAAACCAGAGTTGTCTCTCCACCTGAAACGCTGATGGGTCTCTTCACATGCCAGCTCTAGGCGGAAATAGGACAGGCAGATGGGGGCTCCAGATGGCGTCTGGGCCCAGGAAAGTGCTCCGACTTCTCTGAGTGCAAGGCTAAGAGAGGACACACGTGCTGTCCTTTAGAAGGTTGAGACTGTCCTCCACTACAATAACAATGACAGCATCATTCACTGGGTTCCTTCTCTGTGCAGGTGACTTTCTAAGTCCTTAATTGCCATCTCTCAAATCTTTGTTATATCCCTATGAGGTTGCCATTATTATATTACCCATTCTACAGAGGAGGAAACTGAGGGAAAATGACTTCTTAATGGTCCCACTGCTGAAGCAGAATTTGAATCCAAGACCTCTTGGTATTTGACTCTAAAGTTTAACAAAACTTATTTAATATCTCAACCAGCGTTCAAAATTAAAGTGACTGGCAGTTTTAGAGAGACGTATTTTGCCTCAATATTGGAAGAAACAAGTAACTGTCCATGATGACTGTAAACTCCCCATCCCTGGAAGAATCATGGAGAGAGACTGGAGACATTTGTCCTGAAAAGAATTCCCCCCAAGGCCGAGGGTGGGAGGGGAGGCAGGGAGTGGATTGGCTAGAGAACGAATCAGTCACTGTCCAGTCAGGAGATAGAGACCACGCCAGCTGTTTGAATGAAGAGAGTTTTGCATACAGACTTGGTAAGCAGGCATGGAATAGCCGAGAGCGAAAAGGGACCCTGAGGGAGTATAGAGTGGGAACTGCTGGAAGCAACTCCTCGAGCCAGGCTGGGGGATTAGGGGACACAGGAAAGAGACTGGGATCCTCTGGACCTAGAACCTCGGAGGAGGGACCCTGTGAGGCTGAGCCCCAGGCCTCTGTGGAGGTGGTGTTCTTTGGCTGGTGCTGGAGTCTCTAAGGTTAGACTATGAGGTTGATTCTGAGGGTTAAAAAAAATAGAGAAACTGGAACCAGCTGGGACAGCTGAAACCTGCAGTCACTCTTAAGGTCAGGAACTACAGCTGCAGAGATCAAATCCCCTTCTTTCAGCCTGAGCCTTCCTTTCCCCCTGGTGACAGAGCTTGTCTTGGGACTGTCAGTCAAGTGGACAAAACTGAGGTTTCCAGTCCCAGCTTCAGTGTCACCGGCAAAGCAGGGAAGAGAACCCTTGAACCTGGGCTTACTAATGGGTACAGTCGAGATGTCTTCCTTCCTAAATTCCTGGAATCCTCTCCACTTCATTTTTCATTCAGTAAATATTTACCCAGCACCTACTATGTGCCAGGCATTAGGGATATATATGCTGGGACATGTGACTAAGTCCCTTCCCTTGTGGGAATTGTGTTTTGGAGGTTAAATGGGGGAGGGGAGGCTCAGACCATAAACAGATGAATTCATAAGGTAGTGAATTTCAGGAAGTGAAGATATTGATGCAGATGACAAGTGTGACCAGTCTGTACTTTCTAATCCACAGTACAGGGCTTCCGCAGCTTGCTGGCCAGTTCATGAGAGAACAGCCAGGAAGAGGAAAAGGGCAGAATCCATGGGGTTCAGTGGTCTTTATAAAAATATCACTATAACGTGTTACTCTTGCCAGATGCTGTTCTGGGACATCATGTTTGTATTATCTCATTCTAGTCTTGTAAGAAACTCATGAAGTAGGTATTATTGTTTATTATACCAATTTTACAGATGAGGGAACTGGGGGCTTAGGCAGGTCAATGATTTGCTCCAGGGGAGGAGGTTGACTCAGTGGAACCAGTGACTGATAGGAGGAAAGTCTGGGGGAAGGGAGGAAATAAAAAGCCACCAGTAGTTCTGGAAACAGAAACAGGAAAGGTACAAAGAGAATCAGGTCTGGGGAGGGGATTGGTACAGGTTTTGTACGTCTTGGGAAGACAATCATCCAGCTGGTCGATGGAAATGAAGATGCGGGACTCAGGAGAGCAGGTAGGAGCTAAAATTCTCATAAATAAATGATTTTTGTTGCTGCTAAGGAAGAAAATAAATGTGGCATCCCAGCAGGTCCCAAATATTAGCATTTAAATACAGGCTTACACAGGTGGGTAAAAAAAAAGGCAATTTCCTAAGAATTAAATCAGATTTTATTTTCCCTCCAAGTTTCAGGAAAATCAGTTCTGCTGGAATGTGGTCCTCGGAGAGGTATTCTGCTGTGCTCAAGGGGCACGCCAGCCCTGGCTCTCTGCGGGACTCTTGTGTCTTCTCCCCATTATAATTATGAGGAAATGATGTCTAGGAAGCCGGGGGCAATTCATCAGTGCTGTTTGCTGGAGTTGCAAAGGTTCATGCGTGGAGCGCAGGGAACCTTGTGTTGGCATCTCAATGCCCTCTGCACTCAGCTGTGCCAGCAAGTCTGCAGGGATGAATGAGGCTGGTGGAAGAGACACGGTTGTGCCATGGAACTGGTGAGAAGGGTGGAACTGGTGAGAAGGGTGGATGCTCGGTTACTGGTGGGGCCAGTGCAGACATGGGAGGAGACTACGTGGTCCTTGAAGCCGCCTCTTCTCTTTCTGTTGTCCCCAAATGCCTAGGGTCTTTA